GCAGAGTAGAGAGTAGATACAGAGTAGAGATTAGATACAGAGTAGAGATTAGATGCAGAGTAGAGAGTAGATACAGAGTAGAGATTAGATACAGAGTAGAGATTAGATGCAGAGTAGAGATTAGATGCAGAGTAGAGATTAGATGCAGAGTAGAGATGTGTTTGTTTGTGAGTGTGTCCACTCATTTTACAGCAGTGTTATTCTGCCTCTGCGGGACCAGGGCATCTCACTTGCTGTACACTGAGAGAGAAAGAGGGAGGGATGGGAGAGTGAGAACAAACAGAGTAGGAAAGGAGAGGGTGTACGGATAGAGTTTGGCCAATACCTTCATAGTCTAAGAGCCTAACAGAGGGTGAACATGAGGACATGGCTGAGATGGCACGAGACAGGGGGAATAACCCCACTTTGAGAGGACTCTCAGGACTTGTTAGGCCTGGGCAGGTTTAAGAGCTTTGGGCGCTCCTGTCATATTTCTCTTTCATTTGAGTTTAGACCTCTTGTGTTCTCTCTGTCTTTCTCATTCTCTGTCCCTGCCTGTCTCTCTTTTTCTCAATCCCCTCCCTGCAGAAATGGCAGGCGCCAAGTCACTATAACAAGATATGGCAGTTTCATTCCAAATAATGACCCCAGGATTAACAAACAGAGTCCTGGAATGGTATTTAAAACAAATCGGAGAGCAGGCTGGCCTTGCATTGTTACTGCCTATGCTGTACTTTAACACACTTTCTGATTGGCCTAACAGACTCTCTCCTGGGAAGGACATTCACAGTATTGCCTTCTCCTAGAGGAACAAAAAACGTCTCTCCTTGGTCTCCTTCAGGTGAAAGTTTGCCTTAAGGTCTCTAGGATTAGGGCAATAACCGGTTGTTAGATGAAAACTGCAGCAAGTATACCAACTTTGATGCCTGGCCACTAAGTAAAAACATCAAAAAGATTGATGGGTTCCTCTAGAACACGACTTGATTTGAATATGGTATACATTTGAATGAAAGGTAGAAGAAGGTTAGTGTAAAAAGTTGAATTTAATGGTAATTGCTGCAATTGTTGGCTGAAATTCAGGGTCTGCTGATGTTGGTCTGCCAACAAGAATTATAACCACATGTATTATACTCACTGTATGTTGTGCATTATAAAATTAGTTCTACAGCTTTATGTGAGTTCATAGTGCATGTAGCACGCTGCATACCTACTCATGTAAGCATATTCACACACACAGCAAAACAGTCTCCAACTTCTAGTCATGAAGGGTTCACTCACGCACGCTAACAATATCATGGTGTGTAATAGCAATCCAGTCTCACAAAAAAATGTGTAACAGCTACGTTGGTCCACAGGGCCAAACGTAGTATGTTAACAAAAATAAACTCTGAAATTGTGACATGGCTACAATATTTTCTCCTATAGATTTCTAATGACCAGTGCCCATGTCACATGATCTAGTAGTGTGAAATTGTAGGATAGTTTGGCCATTATAATGCTTATTTATCTATTATATTTTGATAGATATTCTGAAGATTATTTGAGGTCTCGCCCCTATTGATTATTATTGACCAGCGTCCATGGCAAGTTATCGTAAACTCTCATGGCGTGAAAACAGTATTTCTGGTCTCTGAGTTTTCACAGTAACCAAGGTGGTTGCTCGGGCTCTCGCTGCATACATCAGGAAGTAAGTATTGTCCTTCCTGTCGATTGATTTCACAGTGATATCTGCTCTACTCATCAACTAAAAAACACCAGTTTTTCCTTGTTAATTACACGACATTGATTGGTTTAAATTGGTTGAAACTACACTACCCATAATCCCCAGCTATCGTTGTGCCAGTCCTCTTTGCTTGACAAACCTCAGAATTAGTCAACAAGCGCGGTGATTGGATGTTTTAGTGGCGGTGCACCTCGGGAGTTGTAGTTTACACAATAAGAAAAACAAAATGTTTAAAAAAAATTATAATCATACTTTATTCCGCGTGTGCTTGCTTTTCTCTTTGAAAGTCATCACATAAATGCATTTAAAAAAAATGGTTCGGCTATATTAAATATTGCACATCTGCCATAGTTCTTTATTTATAGAGCCCTGATTAGAAGACTTTTGGACAAACTGGAAGAACTCCCACAGCGAAACTGAATACATGACGTGGATCATAAATATATCAGCAATTAAACAACATCTTTAATTTCTCTTCACACAATACGTCTCCTTGCAGTATCAATACTAATTCAGCTGACTTTCATATTGAGTCAGCCGAAGACGTATTAGGCGCTTTCACACCAAGTACTTTTCCCAGGAATAGTTCCGAAGTCCCCGGCCGGAAGTCCCCGGAGTTGGGGACTGGCTTCAGTAGAAGCTGCTGGGAGTCTTCCCAGCAGCTTCTACTGAAGCCTTCCGAGTAAATCGCCAGAAGCGCCGACACCTCCTTATCACTCCACCGCTCCCATGTTTTCTTTTGTGTTGCCATAAGTTAGTCTCTCTCCGTTGGTGCGCTGGGCTAATGCTAATGCTAATAATGCTAATGCGAGCAAATAAAATGGCGGCTTCACAAAAACTTTTCAGAGTTTTACGGGGCGTGGTTTGCAATTCGCCCAGCCAATCAGAAATTGGAACCTTTTTCTCCCCAGGAAAGTCCCTGCTCTCTAGCAGGGACTAAAAAGGGGTGAAAAGGATCGCAAAAAAAAGTTCTGGTTCCAGATCTTTTTGGTGTGAACGCAAAATCCCAGGAACTATCGGAACTGTTCCTGGGAAAAGTACTCTGGTGTGAAAGCGCCTATTGTGTCCCCCATCACCAGGCCCCTCCCTGCCTCACAGACCTGCTCCACCACCAGGCCCCCTCCTCCCTCACAGACCTGCTCCACCACCAGGCCCCCCTACCTCACAGACCGGCTCCACACCAGGCCCCCTCCTACCTCACAGACCTGCTCCACCACCAGGCCCCCTCCTCCCTCACAGACCTGCTCCACCCCCAGGCCCCCCTACCTCACAGACCGGCTCCACACCAGGCCCCCTCCTACCTCACAGACCTGCTTCACCACCAGGCCCCCTCCTACCTCACAGACCGGTTCCACACCAGGCCCCCTCCTCCCTCACAGACCTGCTCCACCACCAAGCCCCCCTACCTCACAGACCGGCTCCACACCAGGCCCCCTCCTACCTCACAGACCTGCTCCACCACCAGGCCCCCTCCTCCCTCACAGACCTGCTCCACCCCCAGGCCCCCCTACCTCACAGACCGGCTCCACACCAGGCCCCCTCCTACATCACAGACCTGCTCCACCACCAGGCCCCCTCCTCCCTCACAGACCTGCTCCACCCCCAGGCCCCCCTACCTCACAGACCGGCTCCACACCAGGCCCCCTCCTACCTCACAGACCTGCTCCACCACCAGGCCCTCCTACCTCACAGACCGGCTCCACACCAGGCCCCCTCCTACCTCACAGACCTGCTCCACCACCAGGCCCCCTCCTACCTCACATACCTGCTCCATCACCATGTCACAATTTGAGAGGGTTTTTACTACGTTTTGCCCTGTGGACCAACATAGCTGTTTTTGTGGCACTGGGTTGGCAATTGATTATTTTTGTGAATTGGATGGACATGGCACAAGAGTGTGTGAGCAGTATTGATGTCTCTGATGGTCAGAACGTAGGTCATTGTCTACATTAAGATTTCATCAAGGATGGTTAGTGAGGGTTTGAACTGATGATAGAGAGCATCCTCAGCTCTGTAAGGATGTAAGGATCCACTGCACAGCTGCAGCAGGAAGCAGCAGATCATGTGGTATGACAGGAATACTCTAAAACACTATTGACAGCCTTATGATATCACAGCGGTTAATACAGCACTCTCTGCAGACTAGTCAACCAAAGACATGAAGACCATGAAACCCAGTCTGCCCTGTCAGAGTCCATTTTCTGTGACTGCGGACATTAAGTAAAGTATACGCACATTTGAATTGGTTTTGTGCAAGACTCACTGAAACAATGTAGCTGACAAATAAGAATGAGAGAGAAGGCATATTGGAAAATGTGGGTAATCAAATGTTTAAAATGTACAGTATGGGCAAAGTAATGTGCATAGTACGTAATGATGCAACACTGATTGCATCGTGACCTATTTGGTCCATTTCATAGTCCCTGAATGCCACAGGCACCTGGATGTTGAGTGTGAGAAAGTACTAAGAGATGCCAGACAGAATGACACACACACACACACACACACACACACACACACACACACACACACACACACACACACACACACACACACACACACACACACACACACACACACACGCACTCTCCTACCCACAAGATTAAGGCAGGTTTGCTACGGCAAGAACAAACAAGGGGAACAACTAACCATCCTGTTTGTCCATTGCACCGGCAACACACTCATTGCCATGACTACCCATGTGGCTGTTTTAGTGATATTTAGGAGCCTGGTGTCTGTGAAGGCACGCCGGTGCTATGACCTCACCGCTGTTTCATGACAACTGTGGGATAGAGCTGCTGAGCAAGGCAGACCTTAAAATCATGGAATATGTCTCGATGTGACGCCCTGATGGCTTTAACACACACAGACCTCAGGCTAACCTGTGTGTTCTGCCTCATTCCACCATTCTCTTACACTCCTTTAGCTCTGTGTCTCTTACACTCCTTTATCTCTGTGTCTCTTACACTCCTTTATCTCTGTGTCTTCTCTGTTGAGCACTGAAGGGCCTTTTCGACCTGCAGGTAGCTAAAGCTAGTTTAAAGGCTAATTGAGACATGATACAGTACAAGTGAAAAAAAGGTCATTATTAGTAGAGGTCAATTAAGGATAAATGCAAGACAGTACAAAGTCTCATGTACCTTATAATGATTTTATTTAATATAAGTAGAACACAAGTTAGTCTGTTCTAATTCTGTGGTAAATTGGGTTACTTCACAACAGGACCAGAAGTTTGAACAAAACAAATTCACATTTATACTTGATACACACAGCACTGAAGTCATTTCTTTTTTTGTAGAATCACGTCCCATGTCCATCCCAATGAAAGTGATGCCCGATACCACAGCAGTGGAGTCTTGGGCGACCTCGGAGGAGAGGATGAAGGAGCTCATCGCCCAGGCCTGGGATGCTGTGAAACGCCTGACTCTGCAGGTAGCAAACCTTACCCTCTGCCATTATTGTTGCGCTGATGTGTACAAGATACCCACTTCCTCTGGATGGTGGTCCTTTCAGGTTGTTTATTAGTCTAGTCAAGATTTGACTCCAACATGTGATGTTAGGGTTAGGACTCCACACCCTGCTCAAATATTTGTGAGCTTCACAGTGAATGTGTAGTTCTTGCAATATGATTCTTTGAAAACTGGCACATTTGTATGTATCGATAATGATGGAAATGTCTGGGACAGGAAATTAAACTTACTGCTAATTAGCTGCTTATGATCTTGCACTTTACCATATACATACTTTTTGCACTTAAATTGTAATTATAATGATATACAAGACAACAACATTATAATTCAAAACACTCTTATTACACTTATATAACATGTTGTTGTACTTCATATTTGTTTTGTAAATATAATTAAATGTTACTTCTTAATTCTTTCAGTGCTACGATATTTTAGTAACAATCTACATTGTGTGTGTGTAGAGTGAAAAGGGCTAGAACATTTCATTCTGCAATCCTGTATTTCAAAACATCAATACTACATATTTGAATCCCAATACAAGCCACTCTTTACCACATTTATCGTTGTGGGTCAAGCATCAGCAAAAGTGCAAATTCATTTATTTCTGACTTACATTATACAGAAGTTCACACACATCTGTGAGCACTTTTTCATTTCCTTTAGAGACCACTAACCCCTCTTGCTGTCAGAGGTACTGTTTAGCCCAGCCCAGTGTCTGTGTGGCTGCGCTCATCCAGGAATCTGTTAGCCCAGCGGCCTTCTTTACATACAGAGGCTTACGCAGCGCCTCTTCTCGCTTTGTGGTGACCTGGCTTTGCTGGAAGCCCCTGTCCGCCTGTTACAGTGTACCTGGATAGTTAAGTGCTGCATCTTGACTGGATGGCTAAGCCTGCATCACACCCAGCCCAATCTGAAAAAAGAAAAGTGCCGACAAATTTCTGACAGGGTTCCTCTCGATGGCAGAAAACGTTATGTTGAAGCACACATGTTCTCATGAGGCTTAGTACATTACTGATTGGGGAAGAGGACTCTGTATCCAGTAACGGGTTAAGTTATTTTATGACTGCTGATACATTGTTTAAACATTTGCCCAACATTTACTCTATTAATTTAGAACTTTTGCTTCTCAAATATACAGATTTTGGTTGGCCTGTGTGAACATCATAACATTGGTAAAATACTAAAACTAGAATCATATTGTCATAAGAGACCTGATCAGGATGTCTGACTTCGTTAAGTATCCCACAATTCACTGCAGCATGGAACTACACTTTGACTGTCCTTTCATCAAACAGTCAGACAAGGTTATGGTTACAAGGTGATGTCAACAGACTATCATCTCATAGATCACTACAGAGATCATAACTACACCTGATTCCATTTTAATTCATTTGTGTGGATTGTAGATGTTGGCATGTCATCACAGGCGTACAAATGTCTTCTATTACCAGGTTTATTCATGGCAGCAGAGATACTCTATGCCAGGGAATTCAAAGTGCAGTAAACTAAATCGGTCTTTCATTGGGCTGCGACTTGTTTCTCTGTGCATGTAAACAATAACCAAAGATTCAGAAGTCCAACAACCATTCTTAATTATTCTTAATTCTTATTGCTACGACCACACAAACCCATGTCAGTCATACATGAGGCCATGACGCATGTGAATGCTTCAGAGCCCAGGTCCCATGTCAGCCCATTGAGATGTTTACAGTACTTCCACAAAAGTTAACTCAACCCTCTAATAGTTTGCTGAGCCCGTCATTGCCTCCACTTCCCTCTGTCCCCCCCGGCTGTGGACCGGACCACACCACGTTCTCCAGCAGTAATTAGGAAACAGCCTGTCCTGTTGACATGTGAGTGGAAGCTTACCAAACCGATGACCCAACAGCTGGTACCCCGGGCTTTGGATATCCCCAAATTTAAACCACTCCATTTATTTTAGTGTGGTGTAAACAGAATACCTAATGACTTACACTTCTGCTACACATGTGCCCAATTTTGGCATTGGAGTTTTCTCCCTCTTTTACCGAAGAGAGAGGAACAAGAGGGATCAAGCAAAGGTGATGGAAAGAGATTGGAGGATAGAAAGTTACAAAGTACTTATTCTACAGCTGCTCAAACCACGTATGACAGTTTAAACAGAAATAGCTACACATAATAGATGGTGATTATGTAAATTGTTTTTAAATCTTCTGTCCTAGTCTCTGATGCAGTCGATGGGACATAGATTATGTCAGAGTGAAAACAAAGGGCTAGTGTCATACATTTCAATGTTTAATGCATTTTGCTACATCATCACTTATCTTACCCCAAGAAACAGCATAACCTCAAAATAAAAGTACTTGAAATTCTGTCCCACTGCACTGTACATTTCATTGTGACTCTATACTTGAGTGCAGCTTATGTAATGTCTTAGACACATTTCCCACTCAAGGTTTAAACCAGAATAGCAGTTGGAAAAAGCTGAACATGCACTGTTTCCATTTGTAGCGTTCTGTTCTAAAATCATTCTATTCACCATCCTTTTTTTACAATGACAGAAATAGTTAGCATTAGGCGCGTTCACACCAAGTACTTTGCAGTACTTAGTGCCGGCACTCAGTGCCCCGGCACTTTTTACCCCAGGGCACTAAGTACCAATCGCGTTCACACCGGAGTACTTTTCCCTGAGGGAAGATTACGCAAATGAGCCGCTGACGTCACTTCTTCTTCTGCTTTGGGTTTACTGGCAGGCTACAAACCACTAGGCTCAGCAGCAAACCCACCTTTATTATATATATATATCTTCCTGAGACCCACTGCATCCGTCTGCCATAAACACTATGGAAACCTACATGTTAGTTTTGGCCCATAGTGGACTCCATTTTGTGTTGTGTAAAATGGGGGGGGAATTAAAAGTTTGCAAATCCCCATGTCCTCCTCAGAGGACAATCATAAAAACATTTAGTTTTAGGTCAAATAATATTTAAAATTATATAAATTATCATATTTGTGTATGTGCCCCTGCCATTCCCCCACAAGGTTGCAACATTGATGATAAATAAATGACAAATAAAGCTTCGCCAGTTTATAACCGATGAAACATGATGGTATCAGAATAATCACTTACATGTGATGTATAGGATGCTACACAGGTCACTGTAAAGATAAAGTGTCAGAGGAGAAATAAGCAAGATACAGGATCTGTTTAATCGCCATGTAGGTTCTCTTTATTGCACTCTCAAGACATAACAGTAGTAAATAGAAGTTCACATTTTAATGTAAATAAAATAGAAGTTGTACATGTAAGTTAACATTATCAATATAAAATAAAGTGTCAGTTGTATCAAGACTATATAATAACAGTAATAACAATAATATAAAATAAACTGTCCCAGGTGTAGGGATAGGCTCAGCAGCATACACACCTTAGTGCAAAGTTGTGTGTCAGTATTAATAACAACAATACAAAATGAACTGTCCCAGGTGTAGGGATAGGCTCAGCAGCAGACATTGTTAACAGTGGCAACTATAGGGAGGAAGACCTGTTGGCTTTCACTAGCTGGGAAAGCACTTCCAGAAACCCATTCTGAAAAGTGGTTTGTCGCTCATCCTGGCGCCGCTTGCGCTGCGCCGACACTTCATCCTGGCGCTGCACCTACACTTCATCCTGGCGATCCTGCCGCTGCGCCGACACTTCATCCTGGCGCTCCTGGCGCTGCACCGACACTTCATCCTGGCGCTCCTGGCGCTCCATCTGCTGCTTCAACACTTCAGCCTGGGGCTCCATCATCGTGAGCATCTTGTCCTCCGTTTCCTGGGCCTTGCTTAACAGCACCATCTGATCCCCGTGCATCGACTCTTTCACCACGGCACGCCGGTCCTCCAACGCCTCGACGGTGTCAAAGAAATTCACATCCCGTGCCCGCTTTCCTAAGAGGGAAAATAAGCAAGATACAAGATCTGTTTAGTCGCCATGTCGTTTTACAACATACTAGGAATGTGTTTACTAGTCAACATTGGACAGGGTGCAGGCCGGGACAAGACAGTGTACACAATGCAGGTGTATAGTAGAAGATAATATAGGATCAAATAGCATAAAATATATATATACACACACATACTGAGTGTGTGTGTGTGTGTGTGTAGCTGCCGCTCAAAGTGCCCTTATTTATTGTTTTGTATTTTTGAAGAGTGCTTCATGTATGCTTGAACTTTGTTTAATGTTGTTGAGGCAAGTTTTCTTACCGGAAGTCATGTGACCTCTAGCCCGGATGTTTACAATGTTTGTGAGAGAGTAAAAACGGCACGAAAATTTGTAAACGCCGGTCTAGGCGAATACGTTTTCACGCTGTTTCATAATTGTACCAAGAAGAAAATAAACGTGATTGTGAACATCAGTTCGATGCGTAACGTTCTTTCAAGACCAAGTTACAGTGTGTGTACCTTTGCGTTTGGTTGCTGGTAAGGGGGACGAGCAAGCGCTGTGATCTGGAGGGGAAAGCTCGCTTGTTTCCAATCCTGAGAGTTGTTCAGCCTCGCCTGCAACACACAATTAGTGCCATGAGTTAGTGAAGCAAATTACAGAAACACTGCACAGTTATTCACAAGTCAAAACGTTTTCATAGCGGCCGAGAATATCTAGCTCGCTAGATGTTATTAGCCAGCTCGGGGCCGGTGTTAGCCAGTTCAGCCTAGCATGGCTAGCTTGATCTACTGAGCAAATAAAAGTACATCTGAGACCATTATTGTGCAGATTAAAACCCCAGTGCATGTAGTTGATTTTACCTTCGTCGTGGTCGTGGTCGTTGGCCACTGAATCCGCCGTTTGAGCGGCCTCCCACACCATCGTGCCCGAATCGAAGGTCGATGCTGTGCCGGAGAATGAAGGTCTGTGGCCTAGCAGAGCATCCAAGCGCTCGTACCATTTACTGGTCTTCCGGTCGTTACCACTCTTGTTGTTATAGTCTTTAATTTTTTTGT